ATGGTTCATTAAATTAGTGTGACATGTTATTCAAAACGAGACCAGGTAATTTCTAAATTCAATTTACTCTTTTCTCTTGTTTTCAAATTTACTCTAAATTCAAAATACAAATATGTGGTGTGATATTCTGTTTAATAAAGAATTAAAATATAAATCTTCTTTAACATGGTCAATCAACAGAGTTGGACCCAAGCACGTTTTTTTTTCTTTTAAAAAAAAAATTCTGGATACATACTTCATATTTTTGAAACTGTATCAATTTGAGTAGGGATGAGAGAATGTGTATATGCATATTTTGGGTACTTAAGATAACTACAATTATAGATTGTAATTGTTGACATAAGACAAATTGTCAAATTCTAGACAAATAAGGAATACTAAGTCAAAAACAAGTCTTAGGAATTATATTCCTAATCTAATTAGGAATAACAATCCTATTCCTATATATACTACATCTCTCATCCTATAAAAGAAGCTGCTCCACAACTCTTCAAGCTCACGCTTTCAACATCTAACAGTGAGCACGATAGTCATTGAGAATAGATACCCAAATCCCCTTGAAAAGTAGTACAAGTGTTTAGGTTACAATAGTTTGATAGGACATCATATTGTGTAATCCCCGCTCCCTAAACTAAGTGTACTTTGAATACTAAGCTTTTAGTGGATTTAGGAAAATTCTCAATTTGAGAAGTGCCTCGCAGATTAGGGTTGTTTGCCCAAACTGCGTTATAAATTAATTGTGCCACAACGTCAGTTACAACTTCTCCATCTATATTTATCACAATTGGTATCAGAGCGGGTCTGCTCAATTTATTAGAAGGATCCAAATGGAATTCCCAAGAGAAGGTCTTTCGAACAATAGACCACCTGCCCTACTCGGCACAAACTTCTCCTACCGGAAGGCTCGAATGCAGATATACATTTTAGCACAAGGTGAAGGTGTCTGGAATGCAATAGAAAACGAATGGAAAACTCCAGTCGATGACAAAGGTAATGCTAAACCTAGAATTGATTGGAGTGAAGAAGAGAAAACAAAATATGACTTCAACTCAAAAGCTATGAACGCTATATATGGAGCTGTAAGCGAAGACACATTCAAATTAATTGCTTCTACCCGCATAGCCAAAACCGCGTGGGGTATATTGTGCAATCATCATGAAGGAAACACATCAGTAAGACAGTCTAAACTACAGATGATACAAACGGAATTTGAAAATCTAAAGATGCAAGAAGAAGAAAATATCACCCAATTCAGTGCCAGAGTGTTGAGTATTTCCGGAGATGCATTCAACCTAGGCGAACCTATACCTGAACATAGGATCGTCAAAAAGGTACTACGCTCACTACCTGGAAGATTCCTAATAAAAGTCACTGCCATTCAAGAGAACAAAGATTTGAATACATACAAGCTTAGCGATCTAATAGGGAATCTTCAAACCTATGAGCTTGAAATGCTGCAAAACCAGAAAAAAAAAATGGCAAAGGAATAGCATTACAGTCCAAACAAGAAGAGAACTCAGAAACTGATTCAGAAACTATGGAACAGTCTATTGCACTATTGACAAAGAATTTTAATCGAGTTCTCAAAAAGTTCAACAAGTTCAGAAATAAAAATTCCTCAAATAACCAAGGAAATTCCATAGTCAATCAGAAACCATCAAATCCAAAACGTAGAGACAATACAATTACGGAAGGAATACAATGCTATGAATGCAAAGGATTTGGGCACATCCAATCAGAATGTGCCACATATTTGAAAAGAAAGAACAAAACATATATAACAACCCTAAGCGATGACTCAGATAGTGAAGAAGATGACAACAACACAAATTTTGTGGCGTTCACTGCCAACCATGAAAGCAGCAATAACGATGACATGCAAGAATTGCTAGAAGCATACACACAATTAAATGTCAAATGGGAGCAGATCATCAAGGTAAATTTAGAACTCATGTAAGAAAATCATTATTTAAAAGATGAAAAGAATCGACTAGAAAACCAATTCAAAGAGGCTCAGAACGAACTACTAGACTTCAAACACAGAGAAGCTAAACTGCTACAAGAATTAAGGAACTTACCGAAAGACCCAGGACTCCAAGCACAGACATTAGTGAGAATCATCAAACCGAGACAGAGGAAGTGTCGCAACAGTACTTCTGACACCGAAGAAGAATAAGGTGCTACTATTGTCACAAACTAGGACACATCAAAGCACACTGCTACAAAAGACAGAATGATATATACTACAGACAAAACAACCGAATATGGCCAACACACAACAGAAATAATAGCAAGAAAATCTGGGTAAGAAAAGACCAAAATGTTGCATACACCTCCAAAACAAACAAGGAGCAAGATATATGGTATCTTGACAGTGGATGCTCCAGACATATGACTGGAAATCCAGAAAATTTAGAGAACATACAATATAAAAAGGAAGGATATGTTACCTTTGGAGATGGAGAAAAAGGAAGAATCATTGCAAATGGAACCCTGAACGTACATGGACTGCCAAAATTGTCAAAAGTCTTCTTAGTACAAGGATTAAAAGCGAACTTGATCAGTATAAGTCAGCTTTGCGAAGATGAACTTAAAGTGGAATTCTCAAAGGAATGTTGCAATGTTCTCAATCAAAATCATGAATGTGTTATGATCAAAAGAAAATCCATAAATAAATGCTACACATGGGACGGTGATCTAACTTGCTTACAGACAGCCGTCAATCAAACACAGTTATGGCACCAACGGATGGGGCACATAAATTTTCAAGACATGAAGAAAGGTTTAAAGAAGGGAGCATACCGAGGAGTTCCAAGCTCGTCACAGATGAAAACAAAAAACGTGATGCATGCCTTGAAAACAAAATAACACGAACAACTCACAAGAAAACCACAGGAATACATACTTCCAGAATTCTAGAATTACTCCACATGGATCTATTTGGGCCAACTCAGACTGAAAGCATAGGAGGGAAGAGATATGTCTATGTAACAGTTGATGATTACTCACAATTTACATGGGTGAACTTTCTCAGAGAAAAATCTGAAGCATTCACAATATTCAAAACTCTAGTTACCAAAATCCAGAATGAAAAGGACAGAAGAATAGGGAAGATCATACGTCTAAGAAGTGATCATGGGAGAGAATTCGAGAACTCAAAATTCAAGGAATACTGCACAGAAAATGGGATTCATCATGAGTTCTCCGCACCAAAGACACCTCAACAAAATGGAATAGTCGAACGGAAGAATCGAACTATCCAAGAAATGGCAAGGGTTCTCCTAAATCACAAGAGACTTCCTTCAAAGTTTTGGGTAGAAGCAGTTAATACAGCATGCTACTTGATAAATAGAGTATTCATACAGAAAGAAACCAACATGACACCATATCAAATCTGGAAAGGAAAAACACCAAATCTAAAACACGCACATGTGTTTGGCAGCAAATGTTATATACTAAAAGATAGAGAACTATTGGGAAAATTTGACATCAAAGGAGATGAAGGGATTTTTCTGGGTTACTCCTCAAACAACAGGGCATATCGAGTGTTTAATCTTAGAACAGACACTGTCATGGAATCTATAAATGTTGTGGTCAATGATACAACATCAGAAGATCCTCCCACCAGTGATGAAGAAATAACTATTGTTGAAACAACAGTTTCAACACCACAAAATTAGAAACCTAAAACAGAATCAACAGAAAAGGAAGAAACTGAAGAGCTTGAGGAAATCGAGGAAACTCTCAATACTGACGAGACAATGGTACAGAAAAATCATCTAGTAGAGAACATTATAGGAGAACTAAATGAAGGAATCAGAACTAGAGGAAAGAAACGAGACTATCGTAAATGGAAGAAGGAGACTATGACTACTGCTACACCTCAAAAATTGAACCCAAAAACATCACGGAAGCCTTAAAAGATGAATTTTGGGTGGAAGCCATGTGAGAGGAATTATAGCAATTTGAAACACACAGTGTCTGGCAGTTAGTCCCTAAACCAGAAAATGCTAATATTATAGGGACAAAATGGATCTACAAGAATAAAACAGATGAACAAGGAAACATTATACGAAACAAAGCTCGACTCGTAGCACAAGGATACACTCAAGTTGAAGGAACAGATTTTGAGGAAACATTCGCTCCAGTAGCTAGAATAGAGTCAATCCGACTTCTCATAGCAATAGCCTGCATACTCAAAATAAAGCTATACCAAATGGACGTGAAAACAGCCTTTCTAAACGGAAACTTAAAGGAAGAAGACTATGTTGCTCAACCAAAAGGATTTAAGGACCCTCACTTTCCACAAAATGTGTTCAAACTCAATAAAGCCCTATACGGCCTAAAACAAGCACCACGTGCCTGGTATGAACGGCTCACTGAATTCCTAATCAAAAAGGGTTACAAGAGAGGGAGTGTAGATAAAACCTTGTTTGTCAAACACTACGGGCAAAACATTGTCATCACTCAAATATATGTTGATGACATAGTTTTTGTATCAACACTCGAGTCCTACAAAGACCAGTTCATTACTAACATGGAATGAGAATTTGAAATGAGCATTGTAGGAGAATGAAACTACTTCCTTGGTCTACAAATCAGACAACAAGAAAATTGAATCTTTATATCACAAAGCAAATATGCCAAGAACCTAGTCAAAAGTTTTGGTCTAGAAGAAAGCAAAATTGTCAGAAGACCTGTTCCAACAACAGAAAGGATATCAAGAGATTCAGAAGGAAAACCGGTTGAACAAACCCTATATCGAAGCATGATAAGAGGCTTGCTATATTTAACCGCTAGTAGACCAGATCTAAGTTTTGCAGTAGGAATTTGTGCAAGATACCAAACCAATCCAACTGAGCAACATTTAAAAGCAGTCAAAAGAATTATTAAATACGTGAAAGGGACATCCGACCTAGGGATATGGTATTCTTTTGACACCAATCATCATCTCTCAGCCTATTGTGATGCTAATTAGGCAGGCAACATAGATGACAGAAAAAGCACGTCAGGAGGATGTTTTTTCCTAGGTACCAACCTAGTATCATGGATCAGCAAGAAACAAAGTTCTATATCTCTATCAACAGCAGAGGCTGAATATATCGCAGCAGGAAGCTGTTGCACACAATTACTTTGGATGAAACAAATGCTAGAGGATTATGGAATATAACAATCAACCATGACAATCCATTGTGACAATAAAAGCGCAATAGACATTTCAAAAAATCCAGTTCAACACTCAAGAACAAAACACATTGACATCAGGCATCACTTCATAAGAGAATTAGTAGAAGATGAAATCATCAGTCTTACTCACATAAGTACAAAAAAACAACTAGCAGACATTTTAACCAAAGCACTAGACGGAAACAGATACACAAAGTTAAGGACCGAAATAGGCCTGTGTATTTTATAAATCGCACCAAATAAAAGGGAATCACATGGGCCAAATCCACAAAATAAAGTCAGCCATCATAACTGGCCCATGACTATTACAACCCACCGCACTAACAAAAAGGCCCAAACCCGGATCCACATTTCGAATAAGCTCCATTTCTAAAAACAGAGCCATCACTCTTACCCGACTTCACTTGTCGTCCACCCGAGAAATCTTCACTCATCCTCACCCTTCACACAAAATCAATCATGGTGAGAACCAGGAATCAAAGAATGGGACATTTACCTCGAAAAGGAACAACTGATAGCACCTCAAAATACACTGGCACCGGAGAGTCTTCAAACCCAGTGTGCGTCGAAGAAGAAAACCCCACCAACATTGCGATGAACCCTGTTCCAATATCCAGAGTACCATTCGGCGAACCTCAAGAACATAGCATCAATCCACCAGGTAACTCGAATCTTCCTCTGATTAACCATGAAGAACCTCCCACGACCATGCCCATTGCGGCTAATTTTGGAGACAACAGGATCGTTGATCCAAACGATTTAGTGGTACAACTCCAGTTTGCCATAAATCGAGGCTGGGAACCTTATATGTCCTCCTACGTTAGCTCCGAAGAAGAGGACAATCCAAGGGAATCAGAATTTGAGGGTCATGAAGATCCTCAAAACCACGAGGTCAACTGTCCCTCGAGCCCTAAAAATGATGAACATATCACAACTGATAAAACCCCCAATCCAATCTCTCGGGTCAACAAAAACCCTAGAAAGAGGAAGAAGAATGACCCGTATGAAGGAGCAGATCCAAGGGCCAAAAGGCCAAGCGACTTTCCAATACGAGCAGGACCTCCACAAAGACCACCAAACATTCCACCAAAACCTGAAAAATCCAAGAAAACAAGAAAAGAAAATACAGAGGATGAACAAAACTGGTTACCAAATGAAGAAATTGAGTCCTCTGGCTGTGAAAGATTGAGAACTCGAGCCCAAAAGAGAACCAACCTAGAAGCTAATAGGGAGAGAAAACAAAAACAGCCTACCAAAGTGGATAAGGCATCTACCAAAGGAAAGGGGAAACAAAAGGCATCTACCAAAGAAAAGGGGAAACAAAAAGTGGTTAGAAGTGATGACATGTCAAACCTACCTAAACCACACAGTACAACCTTTTTAAGCAAGGAATCTGGAAAGCTATGGAAAAGAATTGTGGAGAAAAAGATCATAAACCAAAAACTACTTGTCACAGATAAACTAGACAACTCAGAGCAGATTCAAGAAGTTATAATCTCAAATCAACTCCTGGGAACAGTCACCAACATAGAACCTTATGATGAAGAAGTCATCCAGGAATTCTATTGTAACCTAACCAAAAACACTACAATACCTAGTAGTCCTATGTATGGGAAGGTATACTTGAGAGGCAAATTCTATGAGTTTACACCAGATAGAATCAACAACTACCTAGGAACACTTGAGACTGAACAAGAGATGGAACTAAACAGTGAACAAGTTGCCAAAGAGCTTACAACAGGTAATGTCAGCTTTGAAAAGAACAAAATCAAAGCAGCTTCTCTAACTAGCAAATATGCCATCCTCCAGAAGATAGCTCTGGCAAACTGGATGCCCTCACTCCATGAATCCACTGTAAAATGGACATTAGCAGAGCTGTTGTACAAGATAGGGAAAGGGGTGAAAATCAACATGGGTGTCATTATTCATACACAAATCACAAATTTAGCAGAAGACACTAAATCCAACACCTCCCTGATCTTTCCAAACCTCATCTTTGCCATCTTGACAAAACAAGGCCTCAAAACTCAAGGACCAAAAACCACTGTCAAGAACATCAACACTACAGTCAAACTAAGAAAGGGAAACCACCAAAATGACTTAAAGTCCTCTGCTCCAAAGAGCAATCCACTTGATTCCAAGACACTAATCAATTACTTTGAGGGCAGACTGACAGAATTAGAAGCCTCAGAAAAACAACTTCTAAGAAAACACATGAACATCAAAGAGGAAAAAGCAGAAATAATAGAATGGCTGGCAATCCTAAAAGCAGAAAATGAAGAAGATCAAGAACAAGGAACAGAAGAAGATATTGTAACACCCCGTGTTACGCCCCCTAAAACCAATTAATCATTTAACCAATTATCCAAAGAAAGAATTAAATGACAATAATTAATTAGGAAAAGGCCCACCATAGTCCGTGGGCCTCACCCCCAAAACCCAACCCCTAGTCCTAAAAGGAATAGAGTTAGCAAGCCTATAGTAATTGGGCCCTAACTAGGACTCTTAGATATATAAATAGGGGACATAGGAGGCACCTAGAACCCACACCACAATAATCTCTCACCACACAAGGAGTTCCAAGAATTCCCCTAGGAGAAATCAAGAAAGAAGAAAGACTTAGAGAAAGATCCTTCATAGCCAAGGAAATTAATTAAGGCTAAGAGGTAACCCATGTCTCAACAAAACCTATTTTCTTAGCTATGATCTCCCTCTAGGCATCCCTCTACATTCTTGTGTATTGATGATTCGTTTATGATATTGATGACGTGATCTTGATAATTGATGCTATGATTTCTTGGGTAATCTTGATAATCTTGATGATGGGAAGAGTTTCTTGATGGTTGTGTGATATTCTTGATAAATCGTATTGTTCCTTAATGATGAATTACGTTCTTGGTAACTTGGATATGATTAGAGCCCTAGGATGTGTCGTGAACTCGTATGATGTTATTCTTGATATATTGGGTGGGAATTCGTATGTTTGGGTGTTAATTATGTTTAGAAAGCATGATAAGATATGTGCCGTATGTTTCTTACTTTTGATCCGTTAATTGTCTACGTGTTATCATCAATTACGTTTAAAGGTGTCTAAGCATGGTTTCGAGTTCCACAAAGGTTCCCGGGGCGTTATTTGTGAAAAAGAGTCAGTGGGGGGTAGGTGGGGGTAGGGGACCCACCACCTACCCGCGGCCAAGTTCGGACATCGCCGGCAGCGGGCAGGCGACTGCCCGCCGGGCACCCGCTGCCCGGAATCACGTCGCCGGCGGGCAGCCGGCGGGTGACCCTTCACCCACCGGCTACCCGCTGGAAATTCTCCCACTTCGGGATCCCGGCTTCCCCGTTTGATGTTCCCCCGACCCCCGTGGTGTCCCAACAGACTCCGTCTATCGTGCCTATGTCTAGTTTGATGTTCGGGTACCATTCGTAGGTTGAATAAGTCTTATATATTACATGCTAGTTGAATTGGTATCCCGTTGGCCTAGGTGTAAGAAGTATGAACCCCTTAAGATTATTCTTAGTATGTGGATGATCACGCATAGGTTTGGTTATACGATTTCTCCCCCTTCCCAATGTGTCAATGTGGGTTGCATGTGTTTGCTATGTGTTATGTGTGCATGATACCCCAATTTGGTTGCGATCAAATTGGTTATTCCTGAGTTGGGGCTCAGAAGCTGGCTGCGGTCAAATTTACACTCTCGGCTTGCGGTCCACCGTTTGGTTGCGATCAAACGTTTTACACGAGCTGCGGTTCATATTCCTGGCTGCGGTCAGATGACTACTCTTGGGCTGCGGTCCACTGTTTGGTTGCGATCAAACATTATGATGAGCTGCGTTTCATCGGTCGGTTGCGATCGACCCCTCCGTGTTGCGATACGGGGCAGGGTGCTGCGGGGCCGTGTCAGAGCTATATGCGCTGACCCTCATGTATGGGCATGCGATTGGTCCTGTGGCGCCAACAAAGTGTGCTATGTGATGAGATCTGGATGGTTTGAGGTTATGATTGTTATAAAGGCATGACCATAGGGTACATACTAGTAAACCGTATATGCTTGATTATGACTATTGGTTGTGCTTATCTCTATCTGTTGAATCTGTTCCCTACGCTTGTGAATTGTGCATGCTTGATTATGACTGTTGGTTGTGCGTGTCCCTATCTGTCGAGTCTATTCCCTGTTTTGAAAGCTAGAGTCTCTTAGGATATATCTTCATGCTTCGAAATGGTTTTTCTTATATCTATATATATGCCTATATGTATTGTATTTCAACGCGTTGGAGTGGGTTACCAGCATCTCTCGCTGAACAGATATATTTGGCTTCCAGGCACAGAGGAGTAGACACTAGAGCGCGCTAGAGTCTTGGAGCGTAGAAGTAGATAGTTTCCTCTTCGGCCTGCGTGCTACACTTATGCATTTACATTATTAAGGATATTAGTTAGTTAGCCTGTGCACCTGAGTTCTCTGGCTCAGGTGTGGCATAGCACCCTGTACTCTTTATATCATGTTTTGGGATTTAATGAGATTCTACCTTTATTATATAAGTTTCAAAAGTTTTAAAATTTCGGGGTGTTACAGATATCCAGGAGCATTCTCAAGAAAAGAGTGTTGAAACACCTGTTTCAACATCAGATTCAGAAGATAGGGGATAATTGTTTTTAGCAAAAAAAGGGGAGAAACAGGAGGCATACAGCAGGATTTTTTTTTGCAGACCCCAGCAGGAATTTTTGTTGCAGACAGGACATTCTTTTTATGCTTAAACTTTGCTTTTGTGTCTCTGCTGTTATGTACCCAGAACAAGGCAGACAGCAGACATGACCTACTTATGACAAAATCTATTTTTTTTTTGTAGTTCTGCTACTATAGGTAGACCCAACTAAGAAGAATGAACAGACAAATATTTTTGAAGGACCAGACATATGCACTGAAATGACCTCCTACATTTACTAGTAAAATGCTATCTAAAGTCAACAATACAATAATCAAGAAAGGTCCCACAAATCAAGGGGGAGACACCTCCACGTGTCAACTCTGCTGAAGAAACAAAAATGGATCAAGGTTTTTGCTAAAATTTGACAAAGGGGTAGAATGTTGACATAAGACAAATTGTCAAATTCTAGACAAATAAGGAATACTAAGTAAAAAACAAGGCTTAGGAATTATATTCCTAATCTAATTAGGAATAACAATCCTATTCCTATCTATACTACATCTCTCATCCTATAAAAGAAGCTGCTCCACAACTCTTCAAGCTCACGCTTTCAACATCTAATTGTGAGCACGAGAGTCATTGAGAATAGATACCCAAATCCCCTTGAAAAGTAGTACAAGTGTTTAGGTTACAATAGTTTGATAGGATATCATATTGTGTAATCCCCGCTCCCTAAACTAAGTGTACTTTGAATACTAAGCTTTTAGTGGATTTAGGCAAATTCTCAATTTGAGAAGTGCCTCGCAGATTAGGGTTGTTTGCCCAAACTGCGTTATAAATTAATTGTGTCACAACGTCAGTTACAACTTCTCCATCTATATTTATCACAGTAATGACAAAAGATTACAGATTATGGTATTGTATGATGCGTTAAGATACCTAACTATAGCCCACAAACAATAGCATAACCCTACTTGTTTTTAAGCCAACAAGACATAATTTTACATCACATGGTTTAAGCTAGCATTATTCCATTCATCTTAATTCTCTACTTCAACATCTCTGCCAACCTCTGTTGTTTATGTCTTTGTTCAATATGTTCGAAACAAAAACAAAAGGATAATTGAAAAAACTATATTCAATTAATTCAATTATATCATGTCTTGTTTAAACTTTAAGTTTATTTTATTTTGTTCTCTATGTTGTTAGTTACATTAAAAATTCATTCCATTTCAATAACATTTGTATCTCTCATATTTAGGTATCAAACGAACAACCACATAATGCATGAAATTGTCCTACTTTGATGGCAAAAGTGCAAGAAACTACAAGGTATTCAAAATTATTAGAAAACATGATTTTATAGTTTCAGAAATTTTGAAGATGAAAAATCATATTTTATAAAGTTAGAATACCACTAATATTTAAATATAGAAAGTGGTATAATTCAAAAATCGTGTAATTAAATTGAACGTTTAGCTCCGCATCCTACGCATCATCCGATCGTGATTTCGTGATTCCGATCATCATCTCTGAACGTGGATACCTCCTCCGATCGTGATCTGAAGGAGTGTTCTCCCTAGGCTATCTTGGGCGTTATTAAATTCAATCTTTCGCTATGGATAGATTACTCGCATATCTGTTGTTCATCTGCATACTGGCATTCGACAATCTCTCTAATGGACGTTCATCATCTGGAGAAACGATGCGCCGATCTGGCGCTGGTTGAAGAGGAAACGGGTGGTCTGGAGGCTCCTGAGGCACAGGCGATGCCGGACGCGTCGATTCTAAACAACCTCGTAGGGCGCCTGCTTACGGATCGGCCAATCCGTTTCGAACACATGCAGCATGTCCTGGCATCAGTGTGGCGCCCGGTTATGGGTATGTATGCAGTTTCGTTGGCGGACGATCTCTTTTTGTTCCAGTTTCCACATCCGAAGGATCTGCAGTGCGTTATGGAGGACGGGCCATGGTCTTTCGAAAACCATCTCCTTCTTTGCGAGCAGGTTCCGCCTGGCAATCGACCAGAGGAGGTCACTCTGGATTCTGTCTCCTTCTGGGTACAGATTCACGGACTGCCCGCCATGTATGCTTCGCCGGATTTTATCATCAAAATCGGGGAGTACATTGGATCGTTCATAACCTCCGATCCTTTCAACTTCGGAGGCGCGTGGAAGAGTTTCTACAGAATCCAGGTACGCATGAGTATTTTGGATCCGATCAAACGTCGCATGAAGCTGTTACGGCGTGATGGCACGACTCAGTGGGTCACGTTCGAATATGAGAGATTAAGCACTTTCTGCTATTGCTGCAACCGGCTTGGTCATGCTGACAAATTTTGCAGGGTAGCTTACGAGAAGGGAATCCTACCTGAGGATTACCCGTTCGGAGCCTGGCTGAGAGCTGGACCCAGGCGACAGGTGCGACTAGTGGGAGCCAAGTGGTTATTGTCAAACTCCTCCCCTACGAAGCTGCCTTCCGCCCTCACGGAAGGACCATCGCCAACAATGTTAGTGACAATGACGGAAGCTGAGGGACTACAGGGCAATCTGAAAAGACGTAGGGAAGCTTTGGACATAGAAGATACGGTGACTGAAGATGACATTTTGATGGCTAATAACGGCAAAACTGATGAGTTGGCGGGCCAGGCTTGCCGTGCCCAATGAGTCTTCTAAGTTGGAACTGCCGGGGAATGGGTGGCACCCGGTCAGTTCGGGAGCTCTTGGACATAGTGTCCAAGCAGCGCCCCAAATTTGTCTTCTTAATGGAGACAAAGATGACTGAAGATAGAATGGAGCAGGTTCGAATTCAACTGGGTTTTGATGGTAAATTAAGTGTGGATCGTGTGGGACTTGGAGGAGGCATCGCTTTCTTTTGGAGAGACAAGGCAGTGGCATCCTTATTGGGCTACTCCATAAATCATATTGATATGGAGATATCTCTTCCGGGGAGGCCGAGCTGGCGACTTACGGGTTTTTACGGGGAATCAGACAGAACACGACGTCATATCACATGGGATCTTTTACGGCGGCTCAAGGAAAATTCAAGGCTTCCGTGGGTTGTCGTTGGAGATTTCAACGATATCACGTGTCTCTCAGAAAAGAGGGGGTTGAATCCACATCCCGCGGCACTTCTTGAAGGGTTCAATGATGCCCTGGACGACTGTGGGCTTATTGATTTGGGCATGGTAGGAGGCCGATTCACATGCGTTAAGGGTCGTGGTACTGATGCGTGGGTAGAAGAGCGGCTGGATAGAGCCGTGGCTACGGTGGAATGGATGGAGCTGCATGAGGAGGCTGTGGTTCGAAACATTTTTACTACTTCGTCAGATCACTGTGCCATCTTTGTGGATTTGCACTCGAGACCTGTGAGGGCAGCTTTGCGATCTTTCATGTTTGATTCAGCTTGGTTATTAGAGGCAGGGTGTGCAACAGTAGTTGAGGATGCATGGCGTTCTTTTGCTGATATGAATTTTCTGGACAGACTAACAGCTTGTGGTAATCGACTCTGGAAGTGGGGAGGGGAATACCACAGACAATTTGGCGCTCGTAGCAAGGCCCTGCGACAAACTCTTAATGAGTTAAAAGAGTACCGTGAACCTCATGCTGTAACTACTTTTCTGGCAGCGGAGAAGGAATTAGCGACTATCATGAAAGCCGAAGAGGTCTTTTGGAAATAGCGTTCTAAACAACTTTTGTTGAAGCATGGTGACGCTAACACAAAGTACTTCCACAAATCGGCTACGGCTCGGCGTAAGCGCAACCTCCTTTCTCGAGTTAAAGATCATGAAGGCAACTGGACTGAGGGGACGGCAATGAACACCGCGATTCTCAGGTACTTTGAACAGATATTTTGCTCTGGCACGTGTGATGCAAATCTTTTTGACCGGGTACGTCAACAGGTGACAACTGAGATGAAAGTCTCTATGTCGCAACCCTTCACAATTGATGACGTTAAATCGGCCTTGTTTGACATGAAACCGGATAAGGCTCCAGGCCCGGACGGTATGTCACCAGCCTTTTTTCAACATTTTTGGCCGGTACTTAGCCATGATCTGTCCATGTTCATTCTATCCTGTGTAGAGAATAAAAACTTCCCATCAAGGCTGAATGTTTCGAATATTGTCCTAATCCCCAAAAAAGATGTGCCGGAGAAAGTGTCGGACTTACGGCCTATAGCACTTTGTAATGTGGTTTACAAGGTGCTAGCTAAAATGCTAGCTAATAGACTGAAAGGTTGTCTAGATCAAGTGGTTTCCCAGTCACAAAGTGCGTTTGTCCCCAACCGGTTACTCACTGATAATATTATCGTAGCCGGGGAGATAGGCCACTATCTACGTAGGAAAATGGTGGGAGCTCAGGGGTGGGCTGCCCTTAAGCTTGATATGGCCAAAGCCTACGATAGGATGGAATGGCCTTTTTTGGAGGGTATGCTGAGGCCACTGGGGTTTGAGAGGGACTGGGTGGACTTATTAATGTTGTGTATCAATTCAGTGAGCTATTCTATTTTGGTGAACGGGGAGGTAGCGGGGCAGGTTCAACTTACCCGGGGTATTCGTCAAGGCGACCCATTGTCCCCCTATTTGTTCATCATTTGTGCCGAGGGTTTTTCCACCCTTCTGCAACAGGCGAAGACACGTGGAGACATTCATGGTGTGAGAGTGGCCCGGGGAGCACCGGCCATTACTCACCTCTTTTTTGCTGACGATAGCTTGCTTTTTTTCAGGGCAAACGACCATGAAGCGCAAAAAATCAGAGAATGCTTAGACACTTACAGTCTGGCCTCGGGACAGCTCATCAATTTTGAAAAGTCCAGTGCAGTGTAATGCTTCAATACATCCACAGCTATTCGCTCCGTTGTCTCTGGGATCATCGGTGTGCCTGAAGCGGCGGATTTGGGGAGGTATTTGGGTCTCCCGTCGGTGTTGGGCCGCAACAAAACTGAAATTTTCCGCTATATCGAAATCAAAGTCCGAGCTAGAATTGGTGCATGGAAAAATAAACTCCTTTCCCGTGCCGGTAAAGAGGTTTTGCTCAAGAGCATTGCACAAGCATTACCGATTTTCACCATGTCGGTTTTCCTTCTGCCTTTGTGGGTTTGCAATACACTTGAAAAGCTTTATAATAGGTACTGGTGGGGCGGAGGTGGGCCGGGCAAACGAGGGATACACTGGCTGAGCTGGAGTAGAATGTGCACTCCAAAATTGAAAGGTGTCCTCGGTTTCAAAAAGCTACATGAGTTCAATATTGCTTTGTTGGCTAAACAAGGTTGGAGATTATTAATCCATCCCGATACGTTAGTCAGTCGGCTGTTGAAGGCGAGGTATTATCCCACAATGGATTTTATGGGAGCGCCACTAGGAGGTAACTCGAGTTTTATTTGGCGTAGCATTCATGCTGGCAAGAGTGTTCTCGAGATGGGTATTGCACGCCGCATTGGTGATGGCCGTGATACAAAGATTTGCGGCTGGGACTGGCTAGCTGGAGCTTCGAGTGTTAAATTGCATACTCCTTATGTGGAACATCTACAGGAGGCGAGGGTGAGTGGACTTTTGAATGAACAGGGACACTGGGATGCTGATATTATTAGGGACATTTTTCTGAACGCGGATGTGCCCAGAATTATGGCGACTCCGGTGAATACGCAATTCCGTGATAATTGGCAGTGGGTTGGAGATATCCGTGGATGCTATACTGTGAAAAACGTATATCGCATGCTAACAGACGTGACGAATTCGCAAGACCCCTCGGAGGGCTTTAATGCATGTAAGGCACTATGGTCGTTGTCAATTCCCCCGAAGGTAAGGAACTTTCTTTGGCGATGTGCCCGTAATATTTTACCGGTGCGCGACAACCTAAGTTCTAAGAATGTCTGGATTGGTGGAGGTTGTCCTTTGTGCGGCTACATAGCTGAAACGCAAGTTCATATTTTTTGTCAATGTGTGTTTGCGGAGCAGGTCTGGGGAGCTACGGACGTCCTACAAGGACGCTCTTTTTCAGACTTTCTGTCGTATAAAATTGGTAGCATATCTACGGAGGTGGCTGTGCATGCGGCAGCTGTACTATGGACCGTTTGGACAACGCGCAACGAGGTTGTATGGAATGGAAAACAGGTGCCGGGGAATGAGATTCATGAGCAATTTCTTCGTGTGCAAGCTAGCTGAAAAGAGATCGCCGGTAACCTTCCTCCTGTTATAGCCACTACTGGTACTTGGACCCCACCACCGAGCCAAGCCGTCAAATGCAATGTCGATGCCGCAATGGTCGGGGGAGGTGCGAGTTATGGGATCGTCGTGCGTAATCATGATGGACTTTTTGTCGCGGCAAAGAAGGGGCATTTGGATAGTGTGGACGATCCTTACATGGCGGAGGCCATAGGAGTTCGGGAGGCGTTAACATGGCTTAAGACTCAGAATTATAATGCTATTTTCTTGGAGTCTGATTGTTTAAATTTTTGTACGGCTTTCAATTCTTGTATTTCCGATCTTTCTTATGTTGGTTTAGTCATTAAGCAATGTGTGTCGATTGCTAGAGAGATGGGGAATGTTAGGATCTCCCATGTCAGGAGATCAGCGAATCGCGTGGCTCATGAGTTAACTCGGGCGACCGGTTCTTTGTCTGTCTCCGGGGTATGGTTTAGTACCCCGCCTGATTGTATCTCGAGTTTGCTAAGGTAGTAATATATGGCGTTTGTGTTTGTTTCAAAAAAAATATAAAAAGTGAAATATGGAAAACTTAATAAGTTGCTATAAACAACAATTATCAAATGAACAACCACATAATGCATGAAATTGTTCTACTCTGATGGCAAAAGTGCAAGAAACTACAAGGTATTCAAAATTATTCGAAAACATGATTTTATAGTTTCAAAAATTATGAAGATGAAAAATCATATTTTATAAAGTTAGAATACCACTAAAATTTAAATATAAAAAGTGAAATATGGACAACTTAATAAGTTGCTATAAACAACAATAAACATCCACAAGCTCCAATTAGACAATAGATTAAAAGGATAATTTATTTTTCCCTAAACGAAAGAACCTTTGACCTTTGGTTCTTTAAAAAAATTATTTTCTTAACATTCATGTAAACTAACTATTCAGTTGTTTAAAATTTTTATTTTACATTCTAAATCTCTTTTAAAAATAATTTATTCCTAATGTAATGTACATAATCGCCTCATATATATATATATATATATATATATATATATATATATATATATATATATATGTTCTTCTAAGCAAAGCGACATTTAATTACAATCAAGTATTTATACTTATGAAACCTAAAATATATAAATATTTCAACTCTAACAGCTAGATTTAAAAATGACCAAGAGTCCTACAATTTTATAATGTAATTTTTATACTACATATGTCCTTAAATGTTTGCTAATGGTAAATTAACACAACTTTAATCTTGTTAGGATACAGGATGCGATGGCTCACATATTATTCAATGTCCCTACAACAATATGAATTTAGAAAGGGTAAAACTCTAACCAGAAGAAAAAGACATTTAAACAAATTTTATTCAGTTATTTACAATTGTCTTTGCATCAATGTCCTTTCTTCATAAAAATACACTGCCTAATAGTTACATCATTTGACACTTTAATTTTAAAAACTTATAGGACCAGTATGTAACATACTTTTATGTGA